AGAAAAAATCATTAAGCTCTGACTTACAGAATAACTTATTCTGTATTATGCTGATGAAATAAATACTTCCTGAGATGTAAGAACTGTGTGGACAAATGTCCAAAGGATGCAGTCACCAAAAATGACCAATATTAAAGGAGAATGGAATAGTTAACCACTTAATGAAAGGAGAGAAATTGCCATGAAATATCAGTCTCCCTCACAGTGAAGTTAACCGTTCCAATTGCCGGTTTTAAAAGCTGAAATCTTGAAGCGGTTAATCTAGTAGTTTTACTGATGTTTTAGTTGGAGGTGTGTGAATTAGAGGTAATGGTCTTGGTTATTAATTTTGGTAAGCAAGATAACTGTTACCTTTTATGGAAGCGTTTAGCTGCTATTATAGCATATGGGCATGTGTAATTTCACTTTCAAGGATCTGATTTGTTGGTCTGAGGTTGATTTTTTAGGGTGACTGAAACCTATAAGGAGTCCTTTTTTCAGGATTTCAGACACATGGCAATAGAGGACTTTGATGACTTGTTTCCTTTTACCACAGGGTTGTAGAGAATGGAAAGAACCCTGCATTTCCTGAGAACTTTTGTTCTTTAGAGGTAAGTCCAAAGACCACTTAAGACAAACAGACCTTCCCCAGATTTTTTTTCATTCAGACGAGCAGAATTACGACAGTAGGATGCAAAGACAAAGTCTTGAAATTGATGGGAAATACTTTACCTGTTAATTTCTGTTCTAGGTAAAATGAACTTTGTTGCTTCTACTGACTTTCGTTGAAACACACTGAACAGAAGTAATTATAATCTGAAGAATTGCCTAAGTTTAAGTTATGATGATCAAAGGAGATAATTAAAGTAAACGTTCTGTTAAAGCACCCAGCCAAAGATAAAAATCTTTCTGGTGGGTCTGTGAATTTCTTGATAAATTAGGAAGTGAAGATGCTTTTACTTACTCTTCAGCATAACAGCAAGTTGAGATTAACTTGGGTTCATCTAATCTTGTACTGGTAGTGGTGCTTCTTGAGGTCTTCATTCTGGTGGTATGGTGAAGCTGTCAGTGTTCTAGGTATGGTGGTATAGCTGAGAAGGATGGATGTAGCTCTACAAGGCTAACTGAAGTTAACTTTTATGCTCTATGAACCATTAGTGTCTGCCAATTACCCTTGAGTGGATTTGTGAAAAATCGGTGACAAAGCAAGCCTGTTAGGCAGGCTTCATTTTCTGTGCTGCAGCTGACAACTTCACTGAGAAGTGTTAAAACATATGTTGGATTGCAGGACTTTATTTATATGCCTGACATAATTCAGTTTTTAGACTTTATTGATTTAGCAAAGAGCTGCTTAATTCTTTTCTGTATACAGACATACTGGTTATGTGAAATATATTGATTTTGATCCTTCTGAACTAGCCTGAGGAAGTGTCCCCAGAAACACTGTCTATGGACATGGTAGGAACAACAAGCCAAATCACTTGATGTATTTCAGTAGTGATGGAATGATAAGAAAAGATATAGCTGTGTAGTCTTTAATTTCTTAACCACTTTCAAGCTACATAAATACTTCAAAGGAAGGAAGAAGCTTCGACACTTCATTTTCTTACTGCACACCCTCACATTTTGAAAGCAGGGTTGTAGGACTGACCGAAGCAGTGTTTTCTTCTTGACCCCTCCATGCAGCATTAAAAAACAAACTAATGGTTAACATAGTGTTCTTGTTCCCTCTGCTGGAATCTGCTTGGTATCTTCTAAGACTGAAACAGTTCTGATAGGTGAACAAATAGTTACTCCATGTGGTTTGAGCTTTGTTAGAACCATCTACTTGGACCTCCTGAATCCAGAGTAGTATTCTTTACTGTTTGAACTTAATGAGCTTCTTTCATGATATTGCCTAAGGAACCAGCATCCAAAGCAGTACTGGGTTCCTGCGGACTTGAATTGCATTTGGGTTCATCCAGGCAGACAGAATTCTACTGCTTGCCCCCACCACTCAAGAAGGAATTTCTTTGGCACTTGGGATACACATGTAAAAATGACTTCAGGAGGATAATACAGAAGACTGTTGTAATATCTTGCATATGTGCCCTGAAACAATCTTATCTCTGCTTAGTTATACAATTTGACTTGTAGTATATTAACTTAAAAGGTAACTTTGAAAACATGTTATTTGAAAGAAACTTAGCTATGTTTTCAGGCGAATGAATTTTGAGCTCAATGTTAGCTCAGTTTAAGCTCTGAATAGTTCAGAAAAAAAATCTTTAGTCTTTCAGTATTGTGTTTATGATTGCTTTCATAAGGAGATTTTTTGTTTTAATGTCCACCTCTCCTGTGTGTACAACAAGGAGCTGCAGCTCATCTGGCAGTGAATAGCTGGTTGAATCCTTAGATGGCATTGGGGTATTTTTATTTCTATATAACAGTTCCTTTGGGCAAGTCTCTGTTGTAAGTGGCAGGATCTGGCATATTAGAATGCCTTTCTGACGAATCTTTACATGGTTTCTAAAAAATTAAGAAATATTAATTTGCTGCTCTGGGAAATACGTTGTTTACTCTCACTTTTCTAGGAGTCAGACTGCTGGGACACAAGCTTCTGGTTTGGTTAAATTTGGGTAAATCACCAGCAGTTAGACTAGATACAAAGTGTCAGTGCGGGTCATCAGTAGTGTAACAAGCGATCTCAATTTTAATGATTTTTTTTTTCCTACTAAAATTTCATAACTTGTGACTTCTGTTTTGTGTTTGAAAGTGTTCTGCTGTTTAAAATCTTAAATTGACAACACTTAAGTTCTTGATGGAGCATCAAGAATGACGTGTAATAAAACTTCATAAGACAACACTAACTTGTAACTTTTGACTTCCATTGTGAACGCAGTAAGTAAATCTAGCTTAAAAAGCAAACATTGGCCGCTAGTTAAGAGCATGTCTCAAGGTGGAAAATCTGTTCATATCAGGACTAGTGCATACATTTCCTTATTACACATTTGAGATGTGCCATGCTAAGTGAGTTTGTCCAAAGGAAAATAGAACTAACAAAAGCCTCTACCAGAGCTTTTACAGAAACATTTCTGTTTGAAGGTGAGAGAAGTCCAGTCTTCACTTTCCTTAGTGAACTGTGATGCTCACTTGAAGGAGCTGCATAAAAAGACTTTATGAGCAGTTTTGATTTTGTAGATGGCTTAAAATATTTTAGTCTTCAAACTAATGTGTGGTTCTGCATATGCTCTCACTTCTGGAATTATTGCCTGTAGTTTGGAAGAAAGTTGAATTTGGGAAGACAATAGTGTTTGTGAATTGAAGGTAAAATGCTTGTGTGCATTCCCAGGCCATACGTTAGAACATGATGGGGACATTCAGTTACCTTTTCAGCTTCCTTTTTTTGGTGTATTTTTTAGTGTACCTTAGGGTAAAACAGCCTGTTCTTTTGGTTCTTAATGTGATAATCGAAGAAGCAGTAATTCTGCCTTTTTTTATATATGTTCTGGAATTTACCTTTTAGTAACTTTGTATACAAAGTGAATTTAAGTGAATAATAAATGTTCAAGTTGTCAATATTGCATTGGTCAGCTTATGCAAATTTAAATTGTATAGATGAACTGGAGATAGTCTGAAGAAGATGACTTGCAGATTTGGGTACTGTCTGGGTGCCGTCCCAGTTGTATTATTGATTGATTTTGACTTAGGAAGTGAGAACTCATGCAGCAAATAAAATAACTGTTCTTTTCAAACAGGGAATCTTTATTCTTGTGTGCACAGAAAGTGACCAAAGATCGGAAAATGAGAAGACAAATACCATCTTTACTACAAAGTGATAGAAATATGTAATAGCTTTTGATTTCCTTGGAGTTGCATGTATAAGTATGTTTGTACATTTATTGTTCATCTGCTGATCACTTAGATACCAGTGATTTGAAGTACAGTGAAATTTTGTCACGCTGCTTGAGACAAGGCTTGGACTTTTTTTAAAAAAAATAAATAAATAAGGGAAGGTGTTTGTAACTTTCAGGTTTTGTCAAAATTCTGAATTGTTTGGATAAAATGCTCTGCAGTTTTGTGGTTTATTTTGGGAAGGTAAGTGTTGTTGGGCTCTAAACATTTTGTGTATGCGTATGTGCTGCTAACCATGTGTTCAGCAGCAAATACATTCTGAAATGTACTGATATGTTGGGGTTTTAACACTGCTTTCTCGCTGTATTTGTAGAACTTGCTTCTCCATACATACTCACATACTATAGGAGAGGAAAGTTATGTGTTCAGTCCTAGTTTAACAGTATGCTCAACTTGCAAAAGGTAGTAAGATTTTCTTTCTGAGAGGGTAGGTAGATATTACAACCCAACATAAGAGAATGCTCAGGAGACTATTTTCCGTGTAGTATGTAATTGGTAAGTATTGAGCTGAAGGATTTATTGTATCACACTTGTTTTACTTTCTCATTTTGGTGTTTAAGTAGTAGACCCTTTGAGGGGGACAGCCTGTTTTCTTAAATTGGTAAATGTAAAATAGTTACTCTTCCTGTTTTCCTCTTGCATCTCTTCTTGCATTTGATACATCTGTGTTTCTGCTGACTGATCCTGCAATTTATTGTTTTGTTCTGAGATTCTGCTTGGCTGATCAACAGTTTTCTCCTTAATGGACCTTGTTTGTCATCTCCTTCTATCAGATTAGTGCAAGCATTATTATTCTTCTGTGTGTGCACTGAATATTTTATATTAGCAGCATTTAATTATTTTAATAAGGTTTTTTTAGCACTGCAACTTTCACCTGCCTGTTTTGAAGATATTTCTGAGTAAATCATCTATACTTTTTTATCATCTAATTACAATTTTTATTTAAGAATGAGGGAAGTTTTATTATTTTTGATGACGTTTTAAGGTATACGACTTTTTAGCTATCTAAATTTAACGCTTTTTATGTTAATATTTTCTAAATATTTCACTTTAATGTTTTATATAGTTACCACAGGAGAAACCTGAAGTGATTTGCATTTTGTTGAATTTTTATTTTTTTTTTCTCCCAGGAAATGTATGAGGTTGCCAAGAAACTTTGCTCCTTTTGTGAAGGTCTTGTACATGATGAACATCTTCAGCATCAAGGCTGGGCTGCCATAATGGCCAACTTGGAAGATTGTACATATTCTTACCAAAAGCTGCTTTTCAAGTTTGAAAATGTATATTCAAGCTATTTGCAGTCCGTAGATGATATCAAGTTGAAACTTACACAGTAGGTTTGCTGTTAAATTCAGCCTCGAACTCCAAAGTTACTATATTTTGAACTTATTTTTTTGAATGTTGTATGTCTAGTGCTGGTTCTAATTAATCAAGCATGTATTTGTTTGATTTGTGTGTCACAGAACATTCTTTCTGTTCTATGCTAGTCATTTTTTAACTGACACTTTTTCATTGTATTCATCAGCACACAGAAACCTGTATTGAATTATGTGGAAGATATGCTTGTTAATGAACAGCTGTTTAAGAGCTGGCATCCTTCCAAATGTGCGCTAGAAATAACTAGATAATAAATTTAGACATTAATCAACGTTTTTAAATGCATATTTGCACTTGTGAATTAATTGCATTTTAATACACTTAAGCAGATATTAAGAATGATGATCTAAGTTGAAAGTATGAAGTCATAACACAAACTTTGGGTGTATACATATACCTTTGAGGGGGGTGTGTGTGTATATATATGTGTGTGTGTATACTTGTATCCTGAAAACTCTGGTTGTTACTTCAAGGAAAATCTTTAACATCTTTATGGACATTATAGTATTATGGTATTTCTATGAGTGCTTTGCCTAATAGAATGTAAGTGGCTGTTGGATACTTAAAGAAATAAAACATAAATATGTTTCATCTTTTAAAAAAAAAGTTGAACTTCATAGCTTTTACCAAATATATAGAAACTATTCAAACTCTGCAAAAGTAGTCAGCCAGAGGATGCTCAGTCTTTGCTAATAAGCATTAATATCCATCCAAATTGGCAACATGAAAGTCCCAGTTGTGTGTGTTAAAAAAAAAAAAGTCATATCTCAGTTGTATCAAACTGTACGTTATTACATTGCACTATAAACATAAGCTTACTTGGAAGTTTACAAGAGTTCATATTTAGCAGTGGAAGAGAGCAAAAATTGTAACTTCTGTAGCTGTTGTTCCGTGATGTTGATACTGAACACAGTATTTTGAAAGGGTAGTTAGCAAATTCCTTTTGAAATCTGCTTCAATTCTAAAATAAATAGTACTTTATGTTACAGGTGGTTTGTGTCTAAGTTTTTATGTCACATTGGCTTCTAGATACTGATGTTTTTTTCTTTTCACCCTTTTTAAAAAAGCTTGGGTTCTGCTGTTTCTATCATGGCCAAGATACCACTGCTGGAGTGCCTAACGAGACATAGTTACAGAGAGTGTTTAGGAAGACTGGATTCTTCAGCTGAGCATGGAGGGGCAGAAAGTGAAGAAACTGAGGATGGGAAATCTGCTGAATTGGTGCTTTATTCTGATATATCTAAAGTGAACAATAAATCAATGTTAGCCTCATTTTGCAAGTCAGTTGAACATTCAGCTTTGGAAGGCACAGATCCTGAAAATGTAAAAGATGCTAAGGAATCTGGTCAAAATGCTGCTGTCCAGGACAGTGAAACATCAGTGGAATTGAAAGATGATGATCAGCCTTCTTTCAATGTGTCTTTGCTAGACTGGATAAATGTTCAAGATAGACCTAATGATGTTGAATCGCTGGTCAGAAAATGTTTTGATTCTATGAGCAGGGTAAGTTAATAGTTTTTTAAAAATCAAATTATATTGCATTGAATGTTGCTGTTTATTTTCTAGATCCTGGTGCCTTTGAAGTGACTCAACTTTTTGTAACTCATCATTTGTCAGATAACTTTCTGAATGGAGACCAAAGGAGAGACTGGGAGTGGGGGAAAGTATTTTAAGAGTTCTTGAGTGTTAAGAATTTAACCTTCAGGAAAATGTGTATTTTCACAATGAATTCTTGTTACTTTGTTTGTTTCTCAAATAGCCATTCTGTTGGAAAGCCGATAGCTTCTTGTGGCGTATAAGCAAAATGACTTTACTTCTATTCTTTCTTTGCCTTTTTCATAGAAATTATGCTTATAATGAAAGATTTTCCTGGACCAAAGTTAGTGTTCTTTGTGTTAAAAATACTGAAGCCTTGATTGAAACGTAGGACAAATTCATGTGGCTAATTGTGATAAATTTACATACTTAAGGATTGCTCCTTATTTTGTAATGCTTTTCCTCTTCAGATTCCGCAGTCTGTACCCTGGAGAAGTGTTTCCAGAATGAAAAAGTACTATGTGTGAAAGCTTTTATACAATTGAATAATAGATTGAGGGGAAAACAGTACTTTTATTTACGTTAATATTGAGGCATATAAGCACCTTCTTTTTTGAGGATTAATTTATGTGCTCTGTAAGTGGCATAAACCATGCATGTTGGTGAAGAAACCAGTGCTGTGACAGGTAGCATGACTTCACAAGATAGTGTTCTTTTCACTGGATTCACACTTAATAGATGGCATACCATAACCATTTTTTGAAGTATTTTTATTAGGAAAAATATTAGCAAGAAGTATTACAAATGTATTACTTTTCCATAGCTTGTATTCCAATTACTTAGAACTGATCTGCTTGTCTAAGAAATCAATTAAAACATTCATTTAGTGGGTAAAGGCTGGTGAGTCTTGTAGCTTTTTCCCATCACCCTCCCTACTGCGCTTTCCACTGAGTCATATTCATCACTTGTTCTGATTGTAGCTGTATGGACTCTCTTCCAGGGTAGACCATGTCCATTAACTTTAAACTACTACTTCCCCCTGCACCCTGTCTTGTCCCCTCAACTAATGTCCCTTCTCCTTGTAAGGATCCTGATTTCTATGATGGTCTAGTTGGAATACTTCAAAGAAATTCATGCTGTGATACAAAATCCATAGACTCATTAACTCAGAATTCTGAAACAGATGACAGATATAGGCACACGTTGGATTAAAAAAGAAAAAAAAAAAAAAAGAAAAATATTAAGGTTGTGAAAACTCACTTAGCTAGCTCACCTTACCTTTCAGCATGTCAACTGCTAACAAACGTTTTTTAATTTCCTTCCTTTTTTTAGCTTGATCCAAGGATCATCCAACCCTTTCTGTCAGAATGTCGCCAAACTATCGCCAAACTAGATAATCAGAACATGAAGGCTATTAAAGGCCTTGAGGATAGGCTCTATGCATTGGACCAGATGATAGCAAGCTGCAGCAGACTGGTGAATGAACAAAAAGAACTTGCTCAGGTAATATACATTTGTGCGTGCAACATTGGAAGATGGTAGATTTTTGATATATGTATGCTGTTAAAGATCACAATGAAACAATTGCATGTTTTAATGCAAGATAGTTTTCAACATATCATACTAGAGATGCTGAAAAAGGTGCTATATTCGTAACAATTTGACGTGTAAATATTGGTAGTTTTTACATCTTGTGGTCATCATGCTGGAGACCAGGGTGCTATGAGTTGATTCATCTTTGCTTAGTTCATCCAGTCTCTTGTTAAATGGAAGACAGAAATGGAAAAAAACTCAGTAATGGAAAGGGAAGATTGTGCATGAAACTGGCATCATTTCCAGGTGGCATGTCCTGAACGCTTGTGTCACACCAACTAATTCATTGGTTGGTTCTTAATACGTTGTTATCTTCTGACCTTGGACTAGATCCAGAGTCAAACAAATACAACTGGATGGTTGGTGAGCTGCTCCACTGTCTTTTTATGCTTTCTCTTGGTAATGTTATTTAGCTCATGTGCCACTCCATGCAGTTAGCTTTTCTTGTTCTGAGGCGGCATGTTGTTTTATTTTCTGAGCTGAAAAGGGCATATATCACCCTGCTGCATTATGTACTTCAGGAGTTAGAAAAATTGGAGACCCTCAGATTTGAGTTGTGGAGGGATTTTCTGTTATCCTTACGATCTAGAAATAGAAAAACAGGTAGAAAATTAGAACTTCGGTTGGAGATACAGAATAAAAGAGTAGGTTAAATTTAATTTTGAAGGGAAAAACTGAATCCTTGGTAACTTGTCACTCAACGATACAGGATCAGGGAAGAGGTAATGTGCTTAATGGTTGATCACCAAGCTCATAGTGAGGAGAGTGAGTAGTGTGCCTGTACTAGACAATGTCTTTTGAAGTGATAAGAAATTTGATTGTAGACTATTTTAAATGTAAATTATATAGCTTCTGTTTTTTAGAAAACATTACAGTGCCATAATCAAAATTTCTTTATTAACTACAGTTTTTGTAAAAGAGCTTCAGTTAACTTTATACCTAAGATTATCCTCTAATGCCTTGTTTGCAACAGAGTATATTAAAATCTCTACGTGGTCATTATTTGACGTTCAGATTTTCACCATTACATCAGAGTTGGGACTGTGAAGAAAGGCATGAGTTTCTTATTTGTGCTTGCATGTTGGTATATTATTAGTAGGAGTAAGAGAACAATGTTATCTCTCTATCTTGGGGTGGTTAGAGCCCACTTTTGAGGAGGAGGGAACTGGTCTGACAAGTCATGTAGGACCCAGGCTTCTCGCTGCATCTTCTGGCTGGTACGTAAAGGTGGGTGCTACCAGTGCTTCTGGCAGCACTGTTTAAAAGCAGAGCCTGACTTCAGATAATTTCAGTGAGTAAGTTTAGAAGTAAGTTTGTGCTAAATTTCAGTCTTGCACTGTTTATATTGTAGGCTGGTGCTAAATCCAAGGGAATTTAGCATGATGGAAAGCTACTCTTCCATCTTCTACGTGGTTGCCTAGTGCTGTGAGTGGTGGTTTTAACTATGTTTTCCCTCTTCCCTGGGATGAAGAGCCTACCTGAAGTTTAGCAGTCCCGCTTTTGAGTGAGATGCCCAGAAGTCAGTTGGAAAGACTTTTGTCACCTTGTTTAAATGCTAACATAAATGTAGAATTTGTACCTTTTGAAGTCTTGTCAGAGACTTAAACTTTGAAATCTTCACCTTTGCCTTCTCTTTTTCTAAATTGTCTATTCCTTTACTTATGATATAGGAGCTTTTAAGAACAGTCAGATAGTGTGTGATGGTGTGTTTAGGTTTTTTGTTGGTTTTTCTGAAGCTTCAATTAATTAAATTTGTGATTAAACAAGTGATTAAGTCTACTACCAGATGCATTTATTCCTTGATTTTTATTTGAGCCTTAGGAAGTATTTTAGTACCAGTTTTAGCAGTTGGTTGGATACTGTTTAGAGAAATTAGATGCCAAATTAATGCCAAAAATTAATACCAAAAATTAGGTATTAGAGCTGGTATCATGTTACTCATTCAAATGCTAGTCTACATAGAAATCTAAGAAGAATGGTGAAATGCAAGGGTTTAATTACATTTAAAAATATAGATGAAGACTTTTGTTTTTTTAAAGGTAATGTTCACAATTTGTGTGATAACTGTTAATATTTGGTGTTATCTGAAGAAAGCTCATAAAATTTTCCTTTACATCACACCTTCCAGCAGTGAACTGTTTCTGTTCATAAAGAAATAAAGTGGAGGTACTTAATAGAACAAGGGTAAGGAACATACCAATGGTAATCCCACTGACAGTATTCATATTGAAAGCTGTAGGCTTATTTTCCCCAGGCGAGCAAAAGCTGATGTTGTATCCAGAATTTGAGTTGACTTTCTACTCCAACCTCAGTTCCATTATTAAAATTCAAACCAAACTTATCCCATGGAACAAAGTCATCTGCTGCTAGAAGGCTTCATTGCTTAGTTAATTTGCTTGTTCCTGGACCTACCTTAAGAGTTCTCTTACTTCCAGTCAGCATTTCTAATTAACTGACCATTGAACAGCCTTTTATATGAAAAGTTACATCCATGAGTTATGTAGTTGAATAGTCGATCTCCAGCCCCTAATGTTTAATATGGAAAGCTGCTTTGTTAAATTAAAAAACTTGTTTTTCTCTGTGGAAGCTGGGATTTGTAACATAAGCGTACAGAGTTGTGGTCAGTAGGTGGCATTATGTAATAACAGTATATGTCTAAGAAATTTGGAGCCTCTCTAATCTTTCAGTGTGGTTCTGCCCAATAGCTTATCCTTTCCAACATTTTCTTGCGTTTGATTTTTCTTTTTTAGTTTCCCTATTAGTAGTGTAGCTTTTCAAAACATTTTGTTATATCCAAATGCATTTCTGTCAATTAGGTTCATGGAAGTGTTACTCTTCTATTAGCTCTTAAACATAGTCAAAAAACCTGGTTGGCACATGGCCTTCTTGATTCTGGGCTTGTTCTCTTTCACTTCCCACAAGTTTTTGGGAAAAGGGCTTTGTCACTGTCCTATTCTGTACTTTTATTTTCCTTCTGCTTCTTCTTATGTCAAAGAAAACCTTAGATTTATAGGTCTGTAGTGATTCAGGGTCTTCTCAACTGCCTATTACATCACTGACTGCCCTCTCTGTTGATTGTTTAAACTTCAGTCTAAAATGTCTTTAAATGTTCTTTATTATTGCTCCTTTGATTTGGAAATAATCTTTGGGAAAAATCCTTAACGGCATTATCATACCTGTTTTTCAGGCCCCTTCTTAGTTTGACTCTGATGCTCATGTCATGAATCCTGTCAACCTGACTGGGGCTAGAAAGGCAAGAACCTGTGAAAACAATTGATTATTTGGATCTTGGATTTCTCCACAATTTATTGAGGTTTCCCTCCCTCTTTTCTTCTTCACTGGCTTACTGCAATTTTTCTTAACTGGCCTTTTTCTAGTATGCAGGGATTTTTCTTTCTGATTTGCATACAAGAGTAATTTTAGTTTAATTTCTATTTTAAGGATAGGTCCACAGATACAGAAATGGCAAAAGATACTCAAATTTATGAATAGCTTTTTGGAACTGAGAGTAAAGCTGGAAGGGATTTTCTGTCTCACTGCATCCAGTTTTGTGTAACTTCAGGCTCCATGCCATGTGACTCATTTAAAAAGCTTACTGAGCTGCTATTTAAAAGCAATTATTTTTTTGACTTTATTCCCGTTGCAAAGTTGTATAGAGTCTGATTGTCCTAATGTTTATAAACATCCATTAATCTCAGATCTGAAAGTATTCTTGGCTAGTTCAAATCTATATGCCCTCATGACTGTGCCGCCTTTCATTGCGATGTCTGGCAATTCCCTAATGATTATCACAGCATGTTTCTTCAATGGCTTTGTCTTCCTTAAATAAATAACCCAAGTTCTTTTGATGGGGCTATTCTCCTCTTCTTCATCTCATAACAGTTCTTCCCACCTTTTCTGGTTTCCATTCGCTTGGCTCAGATAGTACACACAGTTAAAATGTTTGCAACCTGCTTTTGTTTCCCAGAGGGGCCTTGCCCATTCAGTACGTAAGTTCCCCAGAGTTCAGTAAATGGTTGACTCTTCAGTATTTTCTTCCATCTTCAGGCATCTTCTTCCTTCTCTTGTCATTACACTTCATATACTTGTTTGATACCTACTTTGATTTCTATGCTGTCTGTGCTGTTCTCACTAGGGTATAAATATTTATTGCAGGCTTTACAAATGTGTTTTGTAGCATCTTATGACAGGATTGCTTTACGTTCAATATCAAATCAATAATGACAGTGTTTTCATTTTTCAGCAGTTTTGTATAACGTTCTATGGTTTACTGTTCTTATCAACTTCAGCTTCAGAAAGAAACACTTAAGACTTCAAATTCTTTATTAAGAAAGCAGAGGCTTATAAACAAGTTTGTAGAACTACAAACGTAGTGACCATTGTGATGTTCAAGCAACATGTCAGACACATGATACGAATGTGGACAAAATCAAAGCTAAAATTGATGTTGAGTGGTATTTTCTTGCCTGAAGAACCACACTGTTTCCAGCAGTATTTTATCTCACCTGTTGAACATGATGGAGACATTGGCCGGGTACAGTAGTTGTTATGCTGGCAGCCCCCCGTCTTCCCTGTCTCTTCTGTGTACATGTACATATGTTACCTCCTGTAATCAGCCATCTAAGACACATTTATCTAAGGCAGTCCATCTTCCCTGTTTTGCCCCCCACCATTTTAGGGATTACCTGTTAATATCCACAGTAGATAATTCTTTGCCATGCCTCTTATGTGCAAATCGGATGTCTAGCTGCGATCTTGGCTCGCAAGAAGAATTAGTTTCATGTATGAATTTCTTTATGCAAAAAAAATATTCTGTAGCCCACATTAGTACCGAATGTGCTCTAAATTAATGTTGAGTCTTGTGTATGCCAGAATTTAACAAGCTGGTTGTTTGCAGAAGTTAGAATGACGGTTAATCCCCTCCATCCAAGTAGCTACTTTTCTACTGCATTAACTTTTGTGATCTTTCACTGGTGTTGGTTAGTTATGTGAAGTTCTTATAGGGTTGTGTTGGTAACTCTTTGGGAGGGAAATATCAGATAAGATTTATTTGAACTGGATTGTAGATTGAAAAGACAGTAGCTTTGATACTTCTCTGTTTAGCATTCTGTTATACCCCTCAATGGTTACAGTAAGTTTATTAAAATGCTTGCATTCTTACAGAGAAGGTTGATCACTTCCATGCTTTTTGATTGTCACAAAGCTTGAGTAACAAACATGTCTCTTTTCCTCTAGGGATTTTTGGCTAATCAGAAGAGAGCTGAGAACTTGAAAGATCCTTCTGTGCTGCCTGATTTGTGTTTGAGTCATGCAAATCAGCTGATGATTATGTTAACTAATCACAGAAAACTGTTAGACATTAAACAGAAATGTACCACTGCCAAACAGGAGCTTGCAAATAATCTACAAGTCAGACTGAAGTAAGTTACAACTTTTCAACTTTATATTGCTTCCCCTTGCATCAAGACTGTTTAAAGAACGTGTGTCTTAAGAAAATCTTTGGTAGTGCATAGAGTTTTTTCTTAATGGGAGGGAAAATAAAAGTTGGATCACTTCAGTTTGTATATGAAGTTATTTGTAAGAGTGAAACTATTATTTTAAGAGAAACTTTTCTTAGAGTTCAAATGGTCTTCATGTCAATAAAACGATATCCAAGAACCTACAGTCTCATCTCCTCTCATCAATCTCGGAAGCCGTCAGTATCTTATTTAAAACTTGGCAATTATATTGGATGTTTTCAGAGGATTATAATAATCATAAATGAAATACTCTTTAGTAGCTTGTGATCACATCAAAGCAGAAAAACATGCCAGTACTTTGATTTACTTGCAGTTCATGAAAAATAATTATATCACAGCCGGTAAAAATGGCAATTTTTCATGTAAGCATCATTACTGTATAACATGGAAGGCAGTAAGTAGTCTATATTGCTCAATGGGAAATAGTTTTTCAAACTACTACACTTAATTAAGCTTTTAATAATTTGTCATATCAGATACATAGGAAAAGTATACAGAATTTAATTTTTGGAAGAAAAAGCTTTGTTTATGCTAGCAGCTAATAATTAACCAATGTTGTGACCCTGTTAGACTTGCATGCTGGATATCCATCAAGTAGATTTTTTTTTTTTCTTCTTGAAGAGACTGCAGTTTGTATAGATGAAGCAGGTGCAATGTGCAGGAAGAAATAAAGCAGAATCAGCAGTGCACTAGTGACAAAGATTCTGTTATATTTGTAAAATAAATTACTGCTAAGTAAATTGAAATGTGATTTTGTCTGTCTTCACTGCCTGTGCATCTGCTCTTAGCCCAATTAAAAGATTACTTTTTTGTACCATTTTTCACTGAGCAGATATTTATAGATAGTACATAGAACCTAGGTTGCTATAAATATCACTTTCCTGTATGTTAAAATATTTGTGTAGTATGCACTTAATTCAGGAATTATTAGAGATAAACACTAGCATCCCTTTGGAAGGAATAAGCTAGTAGGGTGTGGAGAGCGAATGCATAGAGGATAGATTTGAAGAAAAGAATAAAGCATACATGCTTCAGTAAAAAAACAACAACAAAAAAACCCCCAAACAAACAAAAAACCAAACAAACCAACCAAAACCCAAAGCACACAACT